AATGAATCGTTCCTTTCCTTTTGCTAACAGCGCTCTCACCCCACCCTCCTTCCCATAAAAACCTTCCGTTTGGTACAACTCCCAGGAGTCTCTCTGCTTGCTCAACGAGACACTGCTTCACTGGTGAATCATTTAATGAAACCAATTAGTTCACCAAATTTACTTGCTTTAAATTTTGTTTTTAACACCTCTTTATGTATCGAGAGCAAGGAGCTCCTAGGAATATCAAGTTGAAAAACAAGGTTCAGGGGCCTCAAAAAGTTAAAACATAAAAAAGAAATAAGAAGCCCCAAACGGAGTCATTTGCCCTCTCGACTGCAAACCAAGACTAAATTGTAACTTCCACCTCTCCTAATAGTGTGACCTTTACTAAACACGCTGACATTTCCTGATTGTCATTTGTATGATAAAACCCCTGCCTTCCCTCCACCAAAAAGGACAGGCTTGAAACAATCCTTTTCTTTTGCAAATGACTTCCTTGCCCCACCCTCCTGCCTATAAAACTCTCCCATGTTGTCTAGCTCCTTGGAGCACCTGTACTTGCCAGGTGGATGTTACTAAATTCATGAATGGCTCAATAAAGCCAATTAGATCTCCAAACTTACTCAGCTGAATTTCTGTTCTTTAACACACTTAAACATACCCAGAAAAACTAAAGGCGGGGACTTAACAAGACAGTTGTACATCCGTGTTCTTTGCAGCATGATTGACAATAGCCAAAGGTGGAAGCAACTCCAGCATACATCACAGATGAGTGAAGTTCTGATGCATGATAGAACACAGGTGAACCGTGAAAACATGATGCTGAGGTAAGCCAGGCACAAAAGGATAAATACTCTCTGATTCCATTTGTAAGAGGTCCCTAGAGGAGTCAGATTCATAGAGGTGGAAATTAGATGGGGGGGAACAGTGGCTGGGGAGTTAATGTTTAATGGGGCGTTGACTGAAAAAGAGCGATTAGTTGTTTCGTCACCAAAATATTCGGGAGAAAGAAAGAGCTGCGACCCAGAGCACGTAGACGGCAAGCCACGTGCACACTCTGGCCTGCGTGCAAGGCCAGAGGGATGTTTATAGAAGGGAAAAGAAAGTTAAGAGAAAGGGAAGTTAGGCCCCTAGAGCTTTATTATAAACAGTTCTTCCCAGTGTTCTCCGGATTACGCAGAGCTGCGAGAACATCCATGAGCTCCGGCTCCTCCCGTGGACCCTCCCCACCCATGATGTTTGCTTAAAGTCCCAGTTTGTCTTTATCAGGGACAGAGTTTCAGTTTGGGAAGGTTAGAAAGTGCTGGAAACGATTAGTGGCGATGGTGGCACAAAATCATGAATGTACTTAATGCTGCCGAATGGGACCCTTAAAAATGACTTGAATGGTAACTTTTATGTTATGTATAGGTCACCTCTGTAAAAAAACAGGTGCAGAAGAGCATGTAAGGTGCAAGTTTTTGTTTTTAAAA